CATGGTTAATTTTTCTCACTGCATTTATGCCCAGTTGAAGCAAGCCTTTGATTAAGGGTTCTATTTAACCTAAAGCTTTAACTTCAAGTCAAATCAAACAGAGGAAAATTTTAATTTTGTTCATTGGATAATGTTCTTTCTCAGTTGCTTCAGTTGAGTGCTTGTATTTGTAGTTGGTATCTCAGTTCCTCTGATCTCATATTTACTGGTGCAGACAGTAAAAACTCGTGTGGTGAAGATTAGTATTAATCCTGAATGGAATGATGAGTTAACTCTTCCTATCAAAGACATAAATGATCCTCTTGTGCTTGTAAGTTTCTTCTTTCTGTTACTTTGCTTGTGCTTATTTTCAATATTTAATGATTCATGTTAATGTGATTGTGAAGCTTTAATGGTGCTCTAAAATCCTCGTGCATATAAGTGCATAAATTTTTTTACTTCACCTTTATTTTTCTTTTGCTCAATTTCCCTCTTTCTAATTTCTTGTTGAACCAAGCGAAATTATGTGAGGTTCATTTGTGTGTATTAGGTTCAAGACCACATCTACAAAATGAAAATACTTAGAAATGAAAAGTTGGTAGATCAGATTGATGAAATATGTTGAAGTTTTCAAGTATTTCATGGTTTGATCAGGTTCTTTTTTAAGTTATTTGAAAGTTACATGCTATTTTTTCCCCTTTTCTTGTCATTTGTCCCAAGTAACATTTTTTTTTTGGGTTTAGAAAAGAGAGTCAATCTTAAGCAACTAGCTCAAAGGTTGGTAACATTTTCAGTTATGTGGATGATAGTCGTTCCAGTTCCATTAGTTTGTTAAGGTGAGGTGACATGGGTTTTCAATGAGAATTTCAGATGTTTCTTCTGTAACCAACAAAACTGTAGACATTCATTGCTATTTGCAAGAACATTTTAACAACATGTTGTCTTTCATTTTTCCTTTCCAGTCTGTTTATGATAAAGACACTTTCACTGAAGATGACAAGATGGGTGATGCGGAGATAGATATCAAACCTTACACGGAGTGTTTGAGGAAAGGCTTGCAGGACCTATCGGACAATACGACAGTGAAAGAGTTCAACCAAATGAGAAAAATTGCCTAGCCAGAGAGAGCAGCGTGATCTGGAATAAGGGAAAGATGTTCCAAGACATGCATCTAAAACTGAGAAATGTTGAGAAGGGGGAAGTAGAAATCCAGATTGAGTTGATCGATCTTCCAGGCTGCAAAACTGCTTGGATTTGAGATGTGTGATCTCTATCCTTTCTCCATTAACTCTTCTATCTGTTGTATAAATGATGGAGAACTTGAAGTCTGTAAGAACTATTTACCATGCCTGCTGCTTCCCTGTCTCTCTTTCTTGAAGGAGTTGGAACTAGAACAAGGGGGCTGAGAAGCCTATAGCCTTGTAATATAACTGGCACTTCTGCAGTGCTTTTTATATGATTGATTGATGCTATTCTCCTGAAGTTTCCCTTTCCCCCGTTCAAAGGATTGTGCTTTCATTAAATACAACCTTAACTCTAACCCTTCCCAATTCCAACAATATTATGCTGGCAGGTTCTCCTTGTTTTCATCTTTTGCAAGAATTCAACGCAATGAGCATTTTTGTTTCCTTTTCCAAGTTCGTGTTTGTACATGGTGGATGGTACTGCTTTGGCTTTCATATTGATGTTATTGTAGTTCTCTTATTCCTAAAATTAATTTAAAATCTGAATGCTGGTTTTCTTAAACATGCTTTGAATGTTCGTATTCTTATATGCCTGGGCAATCTGAATCTATATGAAAATCTAACTAGTGAAATATTATTGTATCTAATTCGTATTATTCAATTAAATAACATAATAATATCAATAGTAAAAAAAATTTTAAGAAAACTACTAAATCTATTGTTATGTGTTTGAACATATTTATATTTATGCAGTAAATGTCCGCCCCCCCCCCCCCCCCCAAAAAAAAAAAAAAAAAAAAGGAAAAAGGAAGAAGGGGACATATTCTTGTAGTTAATTCCTTTGTTTTTTGTGTAACATTTAGTACATGTAAAATCATACAAATATTCATCAATCAGATGCTTTTTTTTTTGAGTATTATATATATATAGAGAGAGAGAGGAGAAAGAATGAGAGAAATGATCATTGACACTTAGTGTAAGTGCAGGCACTTACACTTAAATCACACTGTTGATTTGATTAAAAATTAATGGATAACATTAAATTTGACATTAATTTTGACCAAATCAACGGTGTGAAATATGGTGTAAGTGCCTTACACTTACACTAGGTGTCAATTAACCTTTACTCTATATATATATATATATAATTTTTTTATTTACTAAAATGGGCATGTTAAATTTTGTTTACTAAAATAAGTAATTTTTTTCTTTTTTGTGTAGTTGAGAAGGCATAGAAAAAATTGACTTCTTGGAAGAGATTTGGTTAGACTCAAACCAATTTTTATGAGAAGCCAATTTTTACCAAACCAATTTAAAATATCAATTTTAGCAAAAAAGTTGGTTCAGAGTTGAAACTAATTTCAAATAGGCAAAGTGGACCGGCTTCCTTCAAAGTGGATTCAAGCAAAATCAACTTTTTACGAAGTTGTTTTGAACCGACTTTTTTTTTGCCAAAATTGATTTGGTAAAACTGATTTTCAATAGAAGTTGATTTTTGGTTTTTTTTTCACGCCTACTTCACACTATAAAAAAATTATTTATTTTGGTAAATAAAATTTAAAATATTTAGCAAATAATATATATATGTTTATATATGTATATATAAAATATGAAGCACATGCTTTTTTTCTTCCAAAGTTTTGCGGTGTATCCCCCCCCCCCCTCTCTCTCTCTCTCTCTCTCTCTCGCTCCCAGTTTTTTAGAACACTAAATCAAACTGTGAAAATAAGGTAAAAAGATAGCATCAGGTCTCTTCATATGCTACAATTGTTGAAAATGCGATCCAGTGAGGAAAACTCGAAATTTCCAGGCTCACCTTGTAGTTCCATGGCCCTAATTCTCTTTGTCAATTTCTTTTTTTTTTTTTTCCTTGGATTTTTTTTTTGGTTACATTTTTCCTTTTACTTCTAGGAGCACAAAGAATATACTATTTTTCTCATTGAATAAACTGCAAATATGCTAAACAAGCATGTCACCCAAGGCAATGATGCACAGATAAAACAAGGAAAAAATCTAGTAGAAGGTTTTGTAAGTTCTTCTGCAGATATTTCTTTTTCTCCAAAATAGATATTTGAATTGTAGGTTATAATCATTTCGTTAATTTAATCTTATCCTCTTCACCAGGTTCCATTCCTGGTCCAAAACCATCCTCATAATCTTTCAAACAAAACCAGAGGCGCCAAGCTCAACTACCGAGAGCAATAATGGCTTCCGCTTCAACATCTCTCTGTCTCTACCAAACAAAAACACCACAATAACAGGTTTCCCATTTTCTCCTACATCCATACCATTCAACCCAAATCTCAAACTGTCCTTTCCTTTCCCTCCAACAATAATAAACTGCCAAGTGTAAAATCCTCGAGTGCTGTGAACTATGGTGTTGTGGTGGATGAAGAAATGGACCGGATTCGAAGGCTCCAAAATGGGTCAGATGTCGGGGCGTGCATTGGAGGGGGAGAAGGGTCGGGTCGTGGATCTGACCCCTCCGGTAGTGGAGGCGATTGCGGAGAGTTTCGGGGAGTGGGTGGTAAGTAAATTGGGGAAGGGAGAGAGGAGAAAGTGGGGAGGATGGTGTGGTAGGTTTCTCTAGGGAAGGACCGAGGATTTCCGGGCCGAAGTTGAGTGTGGCGGTCTTTGTGGGCCTTGCCCGGGCGGGTGCCAAGTATTTGACATGGGTCTTGCAACCACACCCGCTTGCTTCATGAGCACATTGTTGCCTCCGTTTGTATATGATGCTTCCATAATGGTAGTGTGGTAGCCCTTTTGTATTTGTTAGATGGCTTTGCACAATTGCACTGTTCGGTTATATTTAGGAGCTTCTAATTGATGATTAGGCTTAACTATGGAGATAAATCACAGTGTTTCATTACATGTTTGCAATTTACATGACTTTTGAAATTATTCCCATATTCTCGAATTCATGTGATATTTTCTTTTGTCATATTTAGTATTCATTTTTATATTCCCTCATAGATTTTTCTTTCATGCATGTGTACTGATATTAATTTATATGAAAATTATGTAAAAACAATATAAAACAAGAGAAATTAAAATGAGCTAAATAATCTTGTAAGGTATTAAATTAGTAATGTAAAAGTGGTCACAAGTTGACTTCAGGAGAGGGTGGTGGTTATTGTATGATAAAGTTGATATTTATGAAGGGTGAAGTTGATGTTAGGTATAATACTGCATCAATTGGGACAACACTCGTTAAAAATAATACTATCATCAAAGGTTAAATGTGATATAAAAAATACCCAGTATCAACCAAAGGAATACAAGAGCAAATGAGCAGGCACCTTTGATTTGATTCTTGCCACAATTTAGAGATGATCCTCTTGAATGTAAACACTTAACAAACAAAACGTAATTTGCATGATTGAATCTCAAAGTGGCGTATGGAAGCTAAAACATGATTTCCGTTGGATTTATATGAGAAATAAAATAATAATCTTTGAATGAAAAGGATGTTGAAATTGTTAAGTGGTTACAGATGACGGCATCTCACCTACCTTACACCCGGAATGGGCTCAAGTTTTTTACGGGGAGAGGGGGGCTGACTTCGCCGGAAGTGGAGGAAATATGCGACAGAGCAGCTCGGAAGTATGCTAACAGGCTGGCCAAAGTCTCAACATGCTTCCAGCTCCCAAAAAAGTCGACTTCATGAGCACTTATGCCAGGCACCTTCGAGATATAATCAAGGAGCGAATTAACCATCCACTCCACTACGATACTCCTTAAAGGGATTTCAGGTTGCTTCTTTCCTACTTAAATCCTCCCTTTTTTTTTCCGTCTATTTGCTCCTCTTGTTTTCCAATGTTTGCATTTAATTCTTTATTTAAAAAAAATACAAAATTAAGATATTACGTATCTTTTTAATTTGTATCTTATATTTTATAATTTTAAAAAAATAGAATTACAAGTATAAAAGCCAAACGACTCTCATCACTTGAAACTCAGTATCCATTTGTGCTTCCAATTTTTTTTTTTTTTTTTTTTTTTTTAAAGATGGAGACTAAGTTAGTAGATGCTTAAATTAAAAGACAGGGAAGAGAATTAGTAGTTGTATTCGTGATCTTTACATAAATCTTACCAGTATTATGCTACCTAAGTATGGTGTTTAGTATTTAGCGTATTTTATAAAAAGAAACGTGTGATATGAGAATTAGACTAAATGCGAGTATTTTCTCTTTCTGGTAACATACGGGCCTAAGCCCAATTTGTTGTGAGGATTTTGCCTGCTTTTAAGGACCCAAATGGAAGATGAAATGGGCCATAGATTAGTTTGGTTTATGAATTAATGGGCCCAGTTTAACTACATTTTTTAGAAATTTTAGACCCAACTAGACCCGGAACTCATCAAACTGGACTTTACCCAGTTTTTTTTTTTTTTTTGGTTCACAAGACTTTAGCCAGTTTGGATTTACCTATATTAGTTTTGTTTCTCTCATCGTGAAATTTTGGGTCATTCCGAGCTATTGTCCTGAAAAAATAAACATAAGAAGTAACCATTCCCTGTTTTTATGTCATTTTTTTAAATTATACGATCATTTTCTTTTAATTTTTGCAGCATTTTATATGTTATTTGAAATGTTAACCTTGGAAAGAACTTTGTCAAATGTATGTCGGGCGATGCTTAGGTTAGACTTGACAAAAATATATATATAATATATTTATAATATGTATTTATTAATTACAGCTAGGGAAGAAAACACATTTGACGAAACAAAACTCTCGAGTGCAGATAATTGTAAACGCTGGAAACGGGTCGGGAGGCTTCTTCACATGGGACGTTCTAGACAAGCTAGGTGCCGACACATTGGGTCCCTCCACCTCAACCCGGACGGCATGTTTCCAAACCACATTCCCAACCCGGAGGACAAAACTGCCATGTCCTTGACCCGATCCGCCGTGCTCAACAACTCCGCGGACCTTGGAATCGTCTTCGACACCGACGTGGATCGCAGCGGCGTGGTCGACAACCTCGGTAATCCGATCAATGGGGACAGGCTTATCGCTCTTATGTCGGCGATTGTGTTGAAAGAGCACCCAGGGACCACCATTGTTACGGATGCTCGTACGAGCATGGCCTTGACTCAGTTCATTACTGATCGAGGAGGGCATCACTGCTTGTACCGGGTCGGTTACCGGAATGTGATAGACCAAGGGAGTGCAGCAATAAGGATGGGATCGAGACTCATCTCATGATGGAGACTTCCGGGCATGGTGCTCTCAAGGAGAACCATTTTCTTGATGATGGTAAGTTCCTTGTTCATCTAAATTTCAACTTCATTGCATATCTGTGCTTGGTAGAATCAGAAGCCCAATTTCAACTTTGACACTAATCTCTTTGGGTTAAGAGTTTAATGTGCTAAGACTTTTCTAACAATCGTGCTTCTAATTAATTGAATTTGTGTTCTCACACTTTTGGGGAAGATGTTGCTTTTTAACTTGACACTAATCTCTTTGGGTTAAGAGTTTGAAGTGTTAACACTTTTCTAACAATCGTGCTTCTAATTAATTAAATTTGTGTTCTCACACTTTTTGGAAAGATGTTGCTTGTTATCTCGACTAACATTTTTTGATTTTTTATTATATATTTGCTTTCAAGTTATTTTTATTTGTTTTGGGTCAAGTAATTCAGTCAAAATGATTAAGAATCATTAAAAATTACTTACTTATTTCCTTAACTAAATAAAAACCTCAATCACTCTGATTTCTCTTTTTTTTTTGTCTTCAATTATTATCAAAACAAAATGACACGAAAATCAAATATTTATTGTTGTTTTATTTGTATCACCTTCTTGTCTAAGTACCCACAAATAATTGTTTTCAATTAGGTGCATATATGGTGGTGAAAATCATAATTGAAATGGTGCGGATGAAGCTAGAAGGATCAATGAAGGCATTGGAAGTTTGATAAAAGATCTGGAGGAGCCATTGGAATCCATAGAGCTAAGGATGAATGTCATTTCTGAGCCAAGACACGCCAAGGCAAAAGCCATTGAGGCCATCGAAGAATTTAGAACCTACATTGAGGTATGGAATTAAGGCTTAAAATTGCTTTTATTTATGACGAATCCCTTTAATTATTAAATATTCCAATTCACAGAAATCTGAACTTGCTTACAGAAGAGTGAAATAATTGCATTCTGATAATATATTTTTTGTTTATTATTACTCTTTGATTATATTCGAATGTATAGTAGAAAGGGAAGCTACCAGGGTGGGAATTAGACTTGTGTGGAGATTGCTGGGTAAGTGAAGGCTGCCTTGTGGACTTGAACGATGATCCGGCGCCCATTGATGCTCACATGTACAGGTGTGATATCTCCTATTATTAATTTAAAACTTCAAATTGGAAAAAGATTTTTGAACGGCTAAATTCTTACTCTGCACTCCTGGAATTTAGTTTTTTTTTTTTTTTTTTTTTTTTTTTTCCTTGGGTAAATCACATAATCTGCATAGATTTATTACACCCTTTTGCTAGAGAAGCTAGGGCTGTCAATGGGCAAGCGGGTTTAGCCTGGATCCACCAAGACTTGGATTGAGTTTGGTTTGGATCTAGGACCGTATTCATTCAAGTGATCGTTTGAAAAATAATAAAAATATATGGAGAGAACTAAATGGGTCGGTCTGAAATAGGTTTGGATATGTTTTTCCGGGTTTAGAAATGAACGGGGTCGAGTAATTTTATCCATCCAGAACCGGATCTCATTGACAAGGTTTACCTGGTTGTATAAACAGGGCTAAGGTTTGTGATGAAGAAAATGGGGAACATGGGTGGGTACACATTCGGCAAAGTATTCACAACCCAGACATTGCGGTGAATTTGCAGTCATCGGTTTCCGGTGGCTGCAAGAGCATGAGCAGAGTTTTAGAAGACAGGTATGCCTCTTTCCTTCCATCTCCGGACACCTCCAATTTTTTGGAACTGATTCGTTTTCATTTTCTTCATTAATTTTCTCAGGTTTCTCGTGCCGAGCGGAGTAGACAAATTCCTCGACATTACTCAAATTGTTAAGTACGCGAATTCATAATGTATAGATTACTAATATGTAATGCACAACAACCAAATATTAATTGTAAACACAAGTTTGTGTAAATGGGACCATTTTGTATATAATATTTTGAGGTATATGATGCAAAAACAATAGCATTTGGAGGATGAAGTATTGAAAAATTATACCATTTAATATGGGGCCAAGTTCATAAATTTTTGTATTTATATAATTGATTATTTAATCCAAGTAGTAAAATCATCGTTATAAAAAATGTATCTCAAGATTTAAAAGTGTACGATTTTACAATTTTATTTATACTAAATACTCTTTACTATATACAAAATTGCTGTCAAATAAAATTATATGAAAACGTAGTATAAAATGGTAAAAGCAGTTAAAATTCATTTTTTATAATAACTCTTGTACTTTTAATTTTAGAACTAAATTTTCCATTTGAGTTGAAATTGTTTTACATATACAATAGGTCTATAAGTTGAGTTTTATTAAATTTAAATACACCACATTAATATAATGTTTAATACTGTCTTTTGCTTGTAGATCAATAATCCTTTATTCCACTTTGTTCTTCTTCCTTCGTGCATCTCTTTCATCTACTTTTTTTTTATTATTATTATTATACATTGAATGAAGTGTGAAGACAACAAATTCTTTGGTTCATTGTTATTTAGTCATGTACCTTGTCACCATTAAATAAAAATATTTAAATATTTATAATTATTTGATTATATATTAAAATATTATTTATTAAAAACAAAACTACGTTCAAATTGAAAACAAAAAGCAATAGATTTTCAAATAAAATACCATAAAGTGTCACATACGAAATAATAAAATTGTGAAAAAACAATATACACAGTCACATCAAAGTAGAAATAGTAAATAAATATTAAAAAATTAAAATAAGGATAAAATATGATGGTATAATATAAGATATTATTTTGTGAAAGACATAACTCTAACGACTAATGTTAGAAGCAAGACGTTGATAGTGGGCAAGGGGATTATCAGAACTTTGATTGTAACGGTGATTGATAATAACATTGATATTTTGTTTAAAATTATTGTAATGAATAACATTATCTCCTCCCCAATTTGCAAAGTATGGCTCAAGCTTGTAACCTCATTTTTCATATTTAAAGGACAATAATTGAAGGAACTACCAAACAATCCTTCCCAGATATGGAGTGCACGTCCATCGTACCAACACATCAACCAGTTCAACACTTAATAAATAATATAATTTTAGAGCAACTGAAGAAGATTAAGATCGATCAAAAAATTCAGTGCACGTAAAAATGTTAATGCATATATAAGATTCAAAAAGATTAGTCCTCTAATTAAACATACACAGAAACAAAATATAGATTCAAATACATGGTTATTCTAATTCATAATGTTAATCACATGCCGTTTGTTCAGTGAACTACGTCACAAGGTAAAATATTAATTTAAAATCAATAAAATATTAGATAAATTATGCTAGTTAACCTCACCAAACACTTATCAAAATGTTGGGTTTGTGAACTGGTCAAGTTTGTATTAAATTAGATAAATCTGAATCTGAATCTGATTACTTATTTTCATATTTGAATCCTATCTAATTCCAAATCTTATAAAATGTGTTTATTAGAGTATATTTGTATTTAATAAATAATTCAAAATCTACTAAGAAAATTCAATTTGATAAGAAAATAATCTTCATTTACACATAAATTCCTCAACTCTATTTCATTAATTATATTAATACCTAATTTTTTTTAATTTTCTCAATTTAATCTCTACAAATTTAAATTAATTAAAATTATATATATAGAATTATTAATTTAATTAAAAATATTATCAAAATTTGAATTTGAATATTTAATGTGATATCTAATCTTTTATTTAAATTATGAATATTTATAATCGATTTGACTTATTGAATATTTTTATCAAATTTAATTATAAAATTTAAATTAATTTGAATTAAAATTCAATTTATTAACAACTTTAATTATTTTATTCTCAAGATTTAATTTTGTGTTGATCATTTTCTAATTAATGTCTTTAATTTTTGAGAGAGAGAGAGAGAGAGACAAGCAGTCACACAAAATAGATAGATTTTTATTGACATAACCAAACATTTATTTGAATCTGGCACACAAGTAGTGTAAGCTACGAATTACCATTCGAGGAAAGTGGTATTAGCACAAGCTTTTTAATTTCACGCGCGCACTCTAACGGAGAAACTTATTATATCATTCTATTTGGTAATTCTGTAATTATTTGAGATGATGGGCCTCAATATCCTTGGTGAGCGTAACGCAGAAGTCCAAGAGCGTCGTCGGATCTTCAACCCCCTCGTTCAGCTTCGTCGAAATCGAAAATCGAAGGTCCACGTCACCAGGTTTTTGTCTCCTTTAGTGTCCACGTGAACGGTGGCGATGAAGGTCTTGTACAGCTCCATCAGATCTCCTTCAATCACCTTGTAGGTTACTGACTTGTTCTCCTCGTCGATTGCTTCAATAATATCCTTGGCCACTTTTTTCTTGCCATCTTTTTTTTTTTTATTTTCAATATTTTTTTTGAAAACATAAAAAACGAAAAATCAGAATAAAAAACATAAAACAAAATTTAAATTATTCACTTAAATATCCAAATAGAGGGAGAGAAAGTTGAGGTGTAGCAAATACCATGAGTGTAATTCCAATAGATGACTGATCCAACGGTACCCCATTCACCTTCATGCAGATCACAGCTTTGTACGTTTCCAGGAGACATATTGGAGATGTGGTGTGGCCTGTGCCGCCAGATCTGATGGAACACGTCACCGTCCGATTTAATCTCCACCTGCCTCACCATCTTCCCTGACAGACTCATTTTTAACTTTCAAGATATTAGCAACACAAATATTGAATCGAATTGTAGAGAGTAATGGTGAACGTAAAGCTTTTGCTCCAGCCCTTTATATAGTAGAGAGCTTTTGGATTGGGCACGTCAAGTCAGTCTGGCAACGTCTCACCAAACAGTCTTAATTAACCATGTCTAGTAGTAGATAACTATTTATGCTGACTAATATACCGCAATGGAACAAAAGAGTGGGACCCAGAAGTAATGAATGGTGTGGATTCCATCTCATTATGCACGCTGTCGATGGCGGCAAAGAGGTCTGATAAGTGGTAGGGTAATTCCATAAATGGAATCAAATTATTTGGGCGGGTGGCAACAAAGACAACTCATAAATGGTAAAGTCACCATCAAATTGACTTAAATTATGTATATCAATAAAATTATGATTTAATTTAATAAAAAATTTAATTTAATAAATAAATTTTATAAATTGAATTAAATTAAACATATATACATAAAATTAACAATTTTATTTTTATAGATATAATTTATTTTTAATATTTACTCTGTTAAATTACTATTCTCCTCGATTGGCTGGTTGCTAGTGTTTCTTAATGATTTTTATTTTTTATTTTTTATGTTTTTCATCTACTTGTATTCGTCAGCATGCCTTATGGTTTGTGATTATGTTGAATGGAAGGAAATCTTTATAAAAAAGAAAAAAGAAAAAAAATATTCTGTGATATCTCCTTTGTTAATTAAGCCAACTTATTCCATGCCGAGGGTCAAGGCTACAAAACGGGTGACATCTGTTCAACGTGATATAACACACCTGACTTGGCTTCCACACCACCCCCCCCCAAAAAAAAAAGAAGAAAAGAAAAAATATATAATAATAATAATAATAATTAAAAATAATGGAGTAAATGTTGTAGTTGTGGTAAATCCTTCTTCTTTCTGTCATGGTGTCCCAGTTGTTATCGTTTTAGAAAAATTTACCTATTAACATATGCAACGTCTCCCTTTTGTCATATTGTAAATGACTCAAGAATTATTGATTTTAGTAAATTGTTAATATTAAATTATTAACCTAAAATATTTAAATTTAAATTGTTTAATAATAATTATTAATTTTTTTATATATTATAGTATATCACTCTCAGAAATCAATATGAGACAAAATATCACAATTTCTTCCATTTAAACACTTGATATCCTCATCTTCACGAGGCTTAAGCACTCGATTGGATCTTAGTATAGTTTTCACCATCAAACTGATACACAGTTCAAAAGAACAATTTAGATTTTAGAAGATATGTTTGTGAGTTTGTTTTATAGATTTCGGCGGTGACTAGAGTTAGTACTTACTATTGGTAGAATTTGCTTATAATAATAGTTACCAAGCAAGTGTCCAGATAACATATTTTGAGACATTATATGGGAGACATTGCAGATCACTAATAGGATGGTTTGAGATCAAAAAAGCTAAACTTATAGGATCGACTTGGTACATGATTCAGTGGATAAGATAAAGTTAATTAGACAGAGGTTACTAGCCATTTAGAGTAGACAGAAAGTTTATGTTGATCAATGAAAACAAAAGTTAAAATTTATAGTGAGGTAACATGTGTTTTTACAAGTCTCACCTATAAAGGTTGTCATGAGATTTGAAAGAAAAGGAAAACTTAGCCTATGATATATTGGCTTGTTCAAAATTCTAGATTGTGTTGGTGCGATAACTTATTGATTAACTCTTCCACTTGAGTTTTGTGCGATGCATCCTATGTTATATGTATTTCTGTTACAAAAGTATTTGCTTGATCCATTATACGTATTGGCACCACGGTACATAGATGATAATTTGCCTTATGAAAAAGAACCTATGACCATCATTGACTGGCAAATTAATAAGCTAGAGTCTAAAGAGATAACATCCGAAAAAGTGCTACCAAAACATCACTCGAGAGAAGAAGCAACGTGTGAGTTAGAGGAACTGATATGTGCAAAGTATCCTTATCTAATTCGAGACATAAGATTAATTATCGCTCTTATATTTTAAATTTGGAGATCGAATCTTTTCAAGGAAAAAATTGTAATACCCCAATTTAGAGGATAATTAGGAAATTTAAAAATTTAGAGGACTTAATTAAAAAAATAGGAAGTTGAGGGGCCTAGTTAAAAGTTAAGGGGCATAATTGAACGAATTTAAACTTTTATGGGATCTGAACGGAAATAATCAGAAATTATGAGGGACTAAATCGCATATAGTTGAGAGTTAAGGGGCCAAATCAATAATATTTAGATCTGGGCTTTCACCTTCTTCAACCCAGAACTAGTGTGGCCATTAATGCTAATTGTGAGTAACTTGGAGGCAAACATGCCAAATTGTGTATAAATATGATCATAGACAACTAGAGGAACAAAGCCCTAAGTCAATTCAATCAATTGTCATCCCTTGTAGCTGATTGAAGTAGATTTCATTTCCCGAAAAGTTGTAGCTATGCGACTAAGATTTTGCTTCAATAAGACCTCTTCAACCACATCACTACCACCAATTAGGACCTTACTAGTTGTCGACATCAATCACCTTACTGGAGTATTACTAAGTAAGTCCACTAAATTTAGGGTTGATTTTTGAGTTATTGCTAGAGTATTGCCAAGTTAGTCCATTGGATTTAGGGTTAATTTTTGACTTTAGGTTGTTGGGTAAAGAAAAAGACCAATTGGGATAATCGAGTTTATGCAAGATTCAAGCTATTGAACCAGATCTAGTTTGCGGGTTAGGGTTCTAGATTTAGGCTTCTGGTTTTGGACTAGATTATATATGGGCCAAATTAGGGCCTAAATCTAGGCTAGAATGTGTTTTGGGCTGTAATCGATTCTAGTATGGACAAGACTATGTATTAGGTTGAACCGGGTTCTAGACTAGACTAGGTAAGTGCTGGGCTTGGGTTGATTATTTATTGGGCTAGGTTATATAATGGATTTGGGCTACAAAGCCAAATTTGAATTATAGATTTGGATCCAATGAATCGGTTCAGGGGGTTATTAGCTGGTTCAAGGGATTATTAGCAGGTTTTGAGAGTTAGTTGGTCGGTTCAATGTCTTGATTAACCGATTTAGCACTTTATTTGACTAGTTCATTGCTTATTAAAGATGGTTCAGTGTTTTATTAACCGATCAAGTACTTATAAAGACTAGTTTAGTGCTTATCAGGATTGTTTTAATGCTTATTGGCACTGGTGTAGTGTTTTATTAGTAGGTTCATGGCTTATTCAGATTGGTTCATTGATTTACTAAACCAGTTCTAGGCATCAGAGGTCTAGTTTAGTACTTTACTAATCGGGTCAAGGTTATTTAAACTAGTTTAGGACTTTAGAGGGTTGATTCAATGCCTTAGTAATTGGTTCAGGGTTGTTCAACAATTTAGTGGCTGACCAATGTCGATTCAGTACCTTACTGGTTGATTTAAAGATTAACTAAATCGGTTTTATGTTTTGTGAGGTTGGTTCAAGACTTTAGTAAACAGTTTATGATTTTAATTAATAGGTTTAGGACTCTAATGGCTTCAATATGAGTTTTGGGCACAAAAATCTAAATTTCAACTTGGGTTTTAATTAGGAGTTTATATAGATTCGATATGTGGATATATTGGAGTCCTAAAATGAATATTTTATTATTTTTACGATTTTAAATTTCTTGGGAGTTTCACATTGAGCTGTAGTATTAAATATCGAATTATTTGAATTCCATTGATTTTATGAATAATAATGTGCATTTATGAGTGTTTTAGACTTTTCAATATTTTTCTTAAACTCTTGAAATTTTTGGATATTCATACATTGCTCACTAAATTTGACTTCTAAAAACTGAACTAATTGCTTTGATAAATATGTACAAGGGAAATGTATGTAATTAAGTTTATTTTTAAAGTTATTTTATGTTATTTTCTCATTATTGTTTAAACTTGCATTTTAAATTTTTTGCGTCATATCGATGCCTATTTCTATCATAACTAAAAAATGATTTTAAGGGAGTTTTGGGAATAACAGAGTATTGTAACTAACAATAGTAAGTGTTAGACTAGGTGCGCCTTGAATTGTATCTCCAGCTAACAAAAGTGATGCTAGACTACTATGTTATTTCGACATAGTTAGACTATATAACTATATACTAGCAGAATAAGGATCTGCTAAGACATTGATCACCATATTGTTTACATTCTAAATCACAAATTCCCTAACATTTTGTTAATTGTGAGCATATTGCTTTATTAAATATTAAATGTTACAACTTGTATACTTATTCATTATTCTCATAGATATATATTATTATTTATTAGATCTGTCGACTTACCCCTTTATTATTTTTTAGATTTAGAGATTGACCTCCCTTTGAATTCTACTATTCGAGAGAAATTTACTACCCTAGCTGTACCGACACCGATAGTAGAACTGTATCATTTTATTTTATTTTATTTTGATTTATGTTAGATTTTGCTTATAGGGATTTCTAAGATAAGTTTCATGGACTGCAGACAAGTTTACTACTTATGTAGCGTGAAGTATTTTTGATTGATATTTTGAACTATATGTTGGTTTATATACTTGTTTAAATTTGCTTTTATGAGAAGACGATTGTTGGACTTGCTAGGGTAGATCATTTCTAATCTTGGTACTAGTCACAGATCCAACAATTGAGTCATGACAAGAATAATCCAATTGTTTCAATTTATATGATGTAAGATTCATGATACTCTCTTCTACTCAAACTTTGATACTCTTCTTAATGTGAGACTCACAACCTTCTACCACCCTGTCTATCTCCTATCAAACATGTTTGACATGAATCACATCACTATCGGACTAGTTCTTTAGGAGCTGGTTCTGATACCAATTTGTACATGTCCATTATTATCTCTTCAAAAAATGCATAATATCTCAACTTATAACTCACTCTGTGTCTCTCACCCTGTCTAATGTATGAAGTGACACTCCATTGATTGTTGCACAAAGGGTAGCATTTGAGGGTTGAAA